CCCCAAAACCCCAAAACCCCAAAACCCCAAAACCCCAAAACCCCTTTTCACCCACTCTACGTTGAAGGTTAATAACAATAACCTCTATATGATTTAATGAAGCTTTTGAAGAAAATGACTGACCAGCTATTATTTTAAGAATAACTTTAGTAGCTTAGAGGTGGTCGTCGTTTGAAGTCAGGATTGTGTGACCGTGAGTGGTACCAGAGATTTCTGACTTGAAGAGTTTAGGATCTTTGGACTTTGGACATGGGTGGTCTTGGTCGAGGGAGGAGGTGGACTGGTCAGCTCTGATATCTTCGGAAAGATCGTCGTCGATTTTGAGATAGTTAGGTGTTTGAATACTGGAGTAGAGCGAGTGAGAGCGCTTTTTGATGTACCAGATTGAACCAATAATTAAGCTGATGATGAAGAGTCCTGCCACGACTATAGGGATAAGCAACGTGTAATTGAATGTAGCACCAGGATTATCTTGGGTGGTTTTTACGTCGAATGAGTAGCTGTAGAATCCATTTGATTCCAGATAAGTTGAATGGATTACAAGCCAAAGACTTACAAAGTCATCATCGCTAATATCAAAATCTGTTCCATTTATGAAAATATTTTTAGTGTCACTTAGTTCGCCCATATCTTCGTATTTTAGGTTATGCAGCTCTTTTATAATAGTCATTTGAGAATTTGTTAGTTCTATGTTTGAAAATTGAAGTTTGACGTCATCCCTATCCTCTTTTTTAATTTTTAGGATACAGCTGTGGTAGCGTGAAACTCCTGCAGAAGATATTGTGATTGCTTCTTGATTTCCTACTGTAAAATTGCTAGGTCCTCATTGATGGTGGGCTCCACACTTCATCAACTGTGCTTCAAAGCCAAGTTCGACAAGTCCGGGATAGTCACTACAGACATTAGATTTCCTCATGACTCAGTTTTCATCGTAGTCTTCCTGCTCTCATCACTTGGCCACCGTGTGTTCTCTCCATGGACTGCACACTGTGAATCCTTGTGAAACTCATTGGACGCACTCCTTGTTGGTGGGAACCTCATGCATTGAAAAGGCAGTTATTAAGCAAAGAGCCAAGATAAGCAGTCTGGGAGGGCTCATGGTTATACGCTTATTTAGGGTAGCAAATTCATCCACCATTCTCATGGGATTTCTATTATTCTCTAAAATTATTAATGCAATATATAACTTAAAAATTGGGGTTTTGGGGTTTTGGGGTTTTGGGGTTTTGGGG